TTTCCTGCAGGTCTTATTATGAATGAAACTGCCACCATTCATTTATGAATGAGTTGATCAGCTTATGACCTGGCACAATCCTTTAAGTGACACATATCAAAGAAAAAATTGTTTTATCTTAAGGGGATGTGTGATTTCATTTTCATTTATGTACATGTCCGTGTGGTGATGGTTGAGAAAGGGGTTATATGTGACTATTGCTTTCTATTAGTAAATTCGCTACCAGGAGGATACATCTATAATCAGATGAGTTAGGTTTGTTTCCAGTAAGAAATTCAAAAATTGATGATCATAAGTGACTCAATGGCCTAAAAAATAACAGTAAGAATATTAATTTTTTAAAATGTTAATCTGACTAAGAAAGCTTTTCTGATGCTGTAGAAAATGACTTCAATACATTAAATCTTTTTTCAAGAATAAGAAGGCAGCCTGGCTGGTGTGGCTCAGTGGTCCAGCATTGACCCATGAACCAAGAGGTCACTGATTTGATTCTGGTCAGGGATCAGGCAGCCTCGATCCCTAGTAGGGGGTGTGCAGGAAGCAGCCAATGGATAATGTTTCCCTTTTCAATGTTTCTATCCCTTTACCTTCCTCTTTCTCTAAAAAAAAAAAATCAATAAAAACATATTTTTTAAAAAAAAAGAATAAGAAGGCAATACCCAAATATAATGTTAGTTCTGACCAGAGTTTACCTGTCCATTAAAAAATTGTCAAATTACTTTTATGTATGTTTTATTATTCAATCATTGCTTCTGTTTCCTTTTTGTTGAGGTTATTTTTTCATTTTTGTTTACTTACATCTAGCTGCTTCATCCACAGATCCACAAGTAATTTGATAGTATCATAGTCTGAATTACCTGGCACCCTATGTTAGAAAAATCTACGTTTCCTAATTATTTTGCTCATCATAGTCATTATAAATTAACATTTTAAATTCAGAGAGTGAGTATTTTTAAATACATATCAAATGATTAAACTTCTTCCAGGTGTTGCTTGATTTGCATCTGGCGCAAGAACAGGGAGCATCTGCTCCCTAACCACTTGTCTTCTTCTCACCTGCAGTCCCGGCTGCAAACATCTGTGGACTCCTCGTGCATGTGAGCAGGACTTAGAGTTTGCTTATAAATAAATCGTAGCGGTAAATATCACACCCTCAGTAGCAATGTATTTGCTCCTTCCATGGAGGAAAAAGAAGCCTTTGAGGAATCTTACTCCAGTACTGGGTTTTGTAAGCAAATTCTACCATGTGATTAACCTCATTTAGAATTTCCTCTGTAGCTGGTCGGTATTCAAACAGCCACATGGCACAGTCTGAATTCCTGCAAATATTAGGAGACAAGAAGGAATCCCTCTTAAAGCTTGGCTTTACTAGGATCTTCTCTCTTGTTTTTATATTTTTTAATTGTGGTAAAAAACACATAGCAGAGAATTTACCACCTTAACCATTCTTAAGGGTAGAGTTCAGTGGCATTAAGTACATTCATTGTTGTACAACCATCACCACATCCATCCACAGGACTCCTTTCATCTTCCCAAACTGAAACTCTGACCCCATTAAACATTACCTCCCACCCCTCAGCACATGGCACCCATCATTCTTTCTGTCTCTGTGGTTTTGACTAGTCTAAGTACCTCCCAGAAGTGGAATCCTGCAGTATTTTTCCCTTTTGTGTCTGCTGACTTCATTTAGCATAATGTCCTCAAAGTTCATCCATATTGTAGCATGTGTTAGAAATCTCTTCTTTTTAAGGCTGATTTCATTGTGTATAGATCACATGTTGTTTATCCATTCATCCACTGATGGACATTAGGGTTGCTTCCAACTTTAGGCTATTGCAATTTATGCTGCTGTGAACGTGGGTGTGCAAATATCTTTTATTAGAATCCTTGCTTTCAGTTCTATTGAGTGTATAACTAGAAATGGAATTGCCAAACTGGATGGTAATTCTGTTTCATTTTTTGAGGAATCTGCACACTGTTTTCCACAGCAGCTGGACCAATTTACATCCCCACCATCAGTGCACAAGAGTTCCAACTTCTCCACATCCTCGCCAGCTCTTCTTCCTTTCTTTTGGTAATGGTCTCTATCCTAATGGGTTGGAGGTGGTGTCTCATTTGTCGTTTTGATCCCTATTTTCCTAGTGATTAGTGATATTGAGCATCTTTCCATGTGGTTAATGACCATTTATATATCTTCTTTGGAGAAATGTCTATTCAAGTCCTTTGCCCATTTTGTTGATCATTTTACACCTCCGCCTGCAAATGTGGCTTTTCTGGGTTGGGGGTTGGCTTGGTTTGGTTAGCGCACAGTTGTTTACTTGGTGTTTCTGGGGGAAACAGGGGCTGGAGCTTCCTGATTCCCCATCCTGCTGATGTTGCTCCTCTGAGGTAGCAGCCACCATAGTACAGGACCAGTGGTTCTCAGAGTGTGGTCCTGACCTCGGTGCCAGCATCACCTGACTGGCAGCAATGCAGATTCTGGGGTCACCCCAGACCTATTGCATCAGACACTGGGAGGGCACACAAGCCCTCCGGGTGATCCAGAAGCCAGTTTACTTCTGAGAACCACTGTCATCAACTTGCATTTCCTAGAAATTCTTTAGGCTGAAAACAGAACTAGGAAGTCCTGGAGAGAGAGAAAGACAGACTATGTCCCCTCACCTGTTCAAACCTGGGACACAGATGTAATCTCTGTAGACATGGACTTGGATTTATTGGATGTGTGACAATGGACCAGTGCTTTCGCATCTATTATCCGGCCAGATTTGCTAAGTCATCGAGCCACCAGGTTTCTGCCGATGGAAAGTTATCATCACAGATTAAAGCAAACTTTGTTGTCTGACGGAGGCAGAGACTCTGACTTTGAAGAAGGCTCGTCTGCCGGCAGGCCATGCACCTGCCTTTAACACTCGGGGGACAGCCCTCAGCAAGGGAGCCTGGACCTCACTCTCCCGCTGTCTGAGTCCAGGTTTATTATTTCATCCTGTTTTTCATGCATCTGTTCCATGACAAACAGCTTGGATCGGCTGTGGCCCCTTGCTGAAAAATAAAAAATCCAGAGTCCTTTCTCTCCATAAGCCTGTGAGCAAAATGCCCAAATTTCCCGCCCTTCTCCCCTTGGGAAGAGAAAACAGCGCTGATTGTGCACCCTGTCTCCCTATAATGATCGCAGGTCCCACTGGGCTCTTCCGTGTCTGCAGCTCCCCTCCTCCTTAGCATGTCCCCGCCGCCTGTGAGGGGTCCCCTCCTCATGCAAACATGCCCCCTCCTCCTCAGCATGCCCCCTCCTGGCACAAACGTGGCTCCAGCCTGTGTGAGGACCCAGGTGTCCACCCCATTTCCACTCAGACGGCAAACCCCATGTGGCCTGTGAGCACTAACGGTCAGGACACAGTGTGACAGGCAGTGCTCCCCGCTGAGTAAAGGCCATGCGGTGTTTTCTCCTTTCCTGGAGGACAGACGTTCCTAATACATCCGGTTGACATGAATTCTGCATCTTTCACACAAAAAGGGTAGGCTCGCTTTTACCTAGATCACTAGCTACCATTTCATGAAGCATTGTACGTAATTGCTAGGTGGTCCCTGAAAAAAAGTAAGAAGTGTTCTATCATGAACTCTTTTCAGAAAATACTAGTTAAGTAAAGTTAACCAGGTTAGGTTTCTTTCTCTTCACTACGGGACTTCTCAGAGCCTTTAATAAAATAAAAAAATGTTGAGATTCTCCAAGAGGTGAGAACATGGTCATTTTCCAAATTTTATTTGAACACAAGCCCTTTTGTTTATTTGTTTTTTATATTTTCTAGAATAGTCCATGAGAACACACAGCAGGCATGATCAGTAGCCTCTTCTGTAAGAACGTCTAACTCTGTGTGAACTTCATCTGGCCATTTCAGATGGAGCAGCTAGAGGCTCCAGGGGGTAACATCCCCTACCCCACCCCGCAGCAGCCACTGACCAGTGATGGGCTGGCCGAGGACCACCCACGGCCTGTTCTTTCAGGCGGAACAACCGAGGCAAGTTCCGTGCTGTCTCCCAGGGTCCCCAGTGGGCTGAGCCCTTGGGGCCACATCAAAGGTATTGGCTCATCAGCAATATTCAAGGGCAGAAAAAGGAATGGGCTTTTAACTGAGAGTCCAGGCTTTGCATAAAGAATTCCTTCCTCACAATGAAGAGACAGGCTTTTTTATTTGCCTTGCCCTCCTCACCTGTGTCCTCAGCACAGACGTTCTCCTGAAAGCTCTTTAGAGAAAGGCAAGCCCCATCCACTTCCAGAATGGTCATCACAGTCGTGAGCCTTCCTCCCGGCTAAAGCCGTCCATCAAGGTCAGTGAGACGCAATTAGAATGCAGAGGCCTCCGTATCCACGCCCTTGGCTAATTGAACTCACCCACATGGTTTCTCTACTGCTCAGTGAAATGATGACATTATTGGAGGTTAATAGTTAAGGGTTTATCTAAATTAGGTATCCGTAAAGTTCTTAATTTAGCCTCTGAGTGCCTAATAGAAATGAAATTAGACCTAGAGATACCGGCTACATTTCAATCTTGTGGGGACTATTTTGCACAAAGCACCCAGGGCTAGGTCACTAAGTCCCCTCTTCCTATACAATACCTTCAATTTCTGCTAACAAAGACCTCATTTTACATGTACCCTGTTAGGCTTCTCCACTGAGAATTCTCTTTGGCTAAGAATCTGATTTCTACCCTAAGATTCCTTCATAGAGCAGTTCGAGCTGCTCCTGTAGAGGGTCACGGAGGGTGATAAATGAGAAGACATAGAGGTCACAGGAGAAGTTTGGGAGAGGATCAATGGAATGGAAATTTTAAAATATTTTACTTTGGGATAAACTGAGCATGCTTAAACACAGTGAAGGAGGGGAGTTGGGTAATATTGTTGATAAAGAGTGGGGCCCAGGATCCAAGTATGAGAAATAAGAATGAAGGGATACTGGCCAAAAGGAAATGACAAGTGAGGGCAGAGTGGTAGGCAAGTGTGGGAACATGACCATTATCGGAAATAAAGAAAAGGGGGTCACTTCAGGTGAGAGAGGCTTTGTCTTATCCAGATTGATGTTGAGAGCAAAGACAGAGGCAGCTGTCAAGAGCCGAAACGCCCCATCTTGACTCCCACATAAGGGACACACATGCCCAATGCAGACCCAAGCCTTCCCTCAGGCTCTCGCTTCCCATGAGTCTGGTGGGAAGATTAGGCTGAGTGACTGCCTGTTATGTGATGTGAGTGTCATGTCGTGGACAGGCTTGGGGAAGGTGGGGCATGAGTAAGGAGGGGACAGCCAGGCCACGCTGGGCTGCTGGGAAGCTGAGCAGGGGCTCCTGGTGGTGAGAAGCTGGGGAGCTGACAGAACACTGCACGGCCCCCCAGAATGTGTCTGTGGATTATGACCTCATCTTCCTCTTAATAAAATCCAGTAAATGTTATTTTTATGAGTATTTCCCCATTCCTCCTCTGGTCCCGCAATGGGAACTAAGCAAGTTTCCAGCTTTTGTGAAAGGCAATTTATTCATATGGTGGGGGGAGTGGGGAGGTACCACCATTCATTTCCTGGTTGTTTTTCCTGTTTTTCTTTCTGCTGTTCTTTTGTTTTTAAGTGAAGCATGTAGCTTCCCCATGAGGCTAATAACTGCTCATGCTGGGCCCGGTAGCACATGAAATTCACCCGGACAGGAAGTCTAACAAGAATACACACAGCCCACCTTGTGTCTCATGACATTCTGTGTCATTTGAAAAATAATATTCTATTGTGTTCATCTTAGTTTTCAGAGCTCTGAGGATAGACTCTGGATTCTCAAAATAGGAAAATGAAATGAAAATTATATGGTAAACTGAAATGTTTGGTTTGGTTCTTCATTGCTACTATTGGGCCATTTTCCTACAAGAAAACTATTATTTTTGTCATCAACTGGGCTTTATAATGGGGTCTCTAGATTTCCATAAACCCTAGTATATCTTTCAAATATGAAATGAGAGTTAAAACATAAGCCTCCTAGTTTTCAGTAATCTTTGAGGTTGGGCTAGTTTGAGGCGAGGTCCCACTGCGTCGGACAGGTGCTCTCAGAGTTAAGACACAGCCGGTCACCATGGCTTGAGCACATCTGGGGGCCACCGTCCACTGGGATCTTCTAGCGAAGGACTCTGAGCAGCAGACAAAATGAGCTCAATACTCCCCTGGTCTGGGCGGGGCCAACCCAGCCTGCTGCCAATGGGAAGTTTGTTTTACGGAGGCAGAGCGAGCATGCCAACCCAAAGCTGGTCTTCTTCCCTGCACCTCATCAGGGCCATTGTCACACATGTTCCCCAACAGGGCTCACACGTTTACCTAGAAACAAAAGGTCTTTCAAAGAGAGACAACAGCATTTATTTGAGAGCAACAAGAATAGCTATTTGGGAAGCACTAAGTCAGGAGCCCAGATAGTGTTCCGATTAGGAGACAAAGGCAATGGGTATTTATTAGAAAGGGAAGGGGAGCAATTGCATCCATAGAAAGAAGACATTGCCATTGGTGCAGATACCATAACATGATGACACTCATTCTAAACAATGTTTTTAATTTTTAGTCCAGTGGTCATCAGTCCAGTAGTCCTAATACCTGCTTTCTTGTTATCTTTGCAAACAGTTCTTTGGTTAACAATGTGCTTAGGCCCAGTTCAGAGGTTATTTTGCCCTGGCTTAACATTCTGAAGGGTTGAGGTATAAGACATGCAGGGCAGCTCCAGCTCCATTCTAACGTGGCTCCATTTATATTATTTTTCTTAATTTTTAAACATCTATAGTTTGTGTATTGAACACCACAAAGCATATGATTACCTCTCACTTTTGACACCTGAACAACATCAATTTTAGCCTGCATGTTTTTAACTCTTCCTTTCTTTAAACCAAAATTACATATGATTTTTCTTTATTCGAAAATGCAAAAGCTGTATACAGGACCTCTGCACTCTCACCCTATTTTATTCTCACTGTCAGAACCACAATGAGTCCATTGGACTGCTCTAACAGAACACCATTTACTTCCCACAGTCTGGAGGCAGGAAGTCCAAGACGAAGACACAGTCAAATTCAGTGTCTGGTGAGGACCCCACTTCCTGGTTCACAGATGGTGTTGTCTTGCTGTGTCCTCACATGGTGGAGAGCAAAGAGAGAGAAACGTGCACTTTAATAAGGACACTAATCCCATCATGGGAACTCCACCCTCATGACCTCATCACCTCCCAGAGGCCCCACCTCTTCACACCATCACACTGAGGGTTAGGTGTCAGCATATGAATTTGGAAGACACACATTCGATCCATAGCACATCATTGCAGGATGGCTCCTTCTCCAGCCTGAGGGCCGCGTGGTTGCTGACTGCCATGGGCCACTGGAGGAAATCATTTGATCCTCAAAACACCTTCTGCAAAGAGGCATAAAAATCTCATTTTATAGAAAACCGAAGCCCAAGAGTTTTTCAAAGTAATCGCAAATATTTGTAGGGGCAGAGCAAGTATCCTGCTCTCCCAATTCTAACACGATGGTTTTCCCTCACTGGTTCTAATGTGGGCCATGCAGTGCTCTGATTCCATCCTACTGATCTGTTCACCCAAAGATGCCTAATGTGATCTCACCATTAAGATGCTCTGGGTAAACCTGCCATTTAAATTACAATTAAATTACCACTACCTTTAATTAAGAAGTCCCATTCATGTTTTACATTTAAGTGATTAAACAATCAATTTTCAAATATTTCCTTAATGAAACCATAAGCTTCAAGAAACCAAGTGCTGTAATTAAATTAAAGAGAAGAATGAAATAGGAGATTTGACAATTACATAGGTGGAAACCTTCTGCGATAACCAACCTTCCCTGGGTATAAGTCAAGTACTTTGAAAGGAGTACTAGGGAGTGGGGGAAAAAGATTGCCTAAATACACGAGGAAGCAACACTTACCAAATTTACCATGAACCAAACACTATAATAAGTGAGCTCACATACATGAACATTTAACCCTCATAAGAACACGAGAGGATAGATGGAAATTACTACTTTATTTATTTAACAAATGTACTAACTCTATCTCACAGAGTTCCAGTGACTGCCCCTGAATGGCACAGCTGCTAACTGGCAGCAGGACCATGAACCCATGTCTCTGAGTCCATGCCCAGCACTGTCCCCTGCAACACAGACCCTGACAGGCCCCAGACCAGGCGGCCTGAGTGCTCACCCCAGTGCCCACTCACTGCTGTGACACCTGGCATGCGTTATGCATAGCTCTGCCTCAGTTTGCTTTTTTGTAGAGTGGTAATCTATATATATAAAAGTCTAAGCGACTGGATGACCAGACAACCAGCTGGTTGCTATGATGCGTACTGACCACCAAGGGACAGACACTCAGTGCAGGAGCTGCCCTCTGGTGGTCAGTGCACTCCCACAGCGGGAGTGTCGCTCAGCTGACAGAGGGGTACCAGAAGCTGGGCTAACTGCTGGCGAGCACAGCTGAGGCAGCGCGAGCCTCTCCCATGGACACTCCCCCTGGGCGCCCAAGCAGCAGCTGAGGCAGGTGCAGCAGGGCCGGGGTGAGCAGGAGCAGCATGGTGCCTGGTGCCCAGCCCGGCTCAGGCTCTTCCCTGGCCACTTGCGGCTTCAAGCACTACTTTGTGCTGTGCGGGATCAACACGGACAGCGGGCTGGAGCCCAATGAGCTGGCAGGTAAGGCTGGGATGCAGAGGCACGGAAGTCTACTGATCCCTTCAGGCCAGGCCGAGGGCCTCTAGTTAATCATAATAATAAATAAAAATAATAAAGTTATTGTAAAGATTAAATGAATCAACACATGTGATGGCCCTAGAACAGTAGCTTGTACATTGTAATCAAGACTGGCTGTTTTTAATCTTGTTACTACTATTACTGTAATATTTGTATACTATTTGGGTAGTTTGCAAAGTCCTTTTCTATTCTCACAAAAACTATTTGAAGCAACAATAATAATAAAAGTAGCAAAAGTAATAGTAGTAATAATACAATATTTCCATCCCAGAAATGAAGAAACAAAGGCTCGGAGAAATTAAATGACTTGTCCAAGGAATTTTGCCCAGAAAGTAAAAGAGCAGAAACACAGCTTTATAATTTTAGGCTTCATATCCTGCTCCATGACACCACAAAGCATTAATTTAATAATTTCACATTTTTCCAAAACACATGGACACTAACTCACATGATTATATAAAATCTAATTCCTGAGGTTGGAAATCAATTTTTTAGTGTTTCTACTTTTAAATAAAAGTAGACATATTTAAATGTTTCCTTCTGCATCTCACTCTTCAAAAGTAATAAATTCTTAATAAAGAGTTATTACTAATGGCTTTATTAGGTATGATAATGGCAATATGTTCATCTTTAAGAGGGCTAGGATTTGCTTCAAAAAAATACTGCGGAGAGGGGTGTGGGTCTGGGTGAAATAAGACTGTACGTGACAACAGTTTAGAAGCCAGGTGATAATCAGGTGAGGATTCACTAAACTCTTCTGTCTTCCTCTGCCTGTTTAAGTTTTCCATAATTAAAAGTTATTTTTAATAAAGTTAATAAGTGTTGAAAATAATAATTTCACATTTTTCTTCACGCTACCTCTCATCCTACAGTACGAAATCTCAATCAGCAGCCTAGTGTCACCCTTATCCCACTCTCCACAAGCATAGTGGGAAATGTCCATCCAAAGATAGGATCTTGCCCAGCGGGCCTGGCTCAGTGGTTGAGCATCGACCTATGAACCAGGAGATCATGGTTTGATTCCAAGTAAGGGCACATGGCCAGGTTGCTAGCTGGATCCCCAGTGTGGAGCGTGCAAGAGGCAGCTGATCACTGATTCTCTCTCATCATTGATGTTTCTGTCTCTCTCTCCCTCTCCCTTCCTCTCTAAAATCAAATAAAACATTTTTTTAAAAAGATAGAATTTTTACCTTAGGGAGCAAGGGCTGTTTGTGATGACAGAGATTCCATATAGTCCGATTTGGGAACTGTAATACCCAAAAAAGGGTTAGTGGGATTTTCACCTGTTTTCTATTTTTCCTCAAATATTGAGTGACCCACTCCAGAGTTCTGTCAATTATGTTTCTGAACCATCCTATCCAGTCAACGTTATTGCTCACTCATTGACACACAGAGACAATTCCTCCAATAGCCAGCTGAAGAGGTTAAAAGCTGAAGGGAGTGGTTATATGCAAGTTTAGTTTATTAGGGGAATCAAATAAATTTATATATATATATGTATATATATATCACCAAAAAATTGTACAGCATTGAACAAATGGACTATATTACAAACATGTAAGAGTTAGCTTGTATAATAGAGAAGAAAACGAAGGACAGATGGGTTTTGAGGGAGAATAAATGGCCACAGCCTCTGGAGTCCAGTGTGTCTCCCATGGGACAGAGGAAGGGCTCTCATAGGAAGAATAAGTGCCAAGAAGAGGACAGAGAGCAGCTGTGGTCTGGGGTGATTTCCCCGTTGGTCTGGGCCTACTTAGAAGGAAATTTTTAAATAGTTTGCACTTAGTCTCATCTTGGAAAGTTGGTTTCATTTCATCTTCCAGGCACCTCTCTCCAGGCCTCCCCATCACAGGTTCTCCAAGTCAGCCTTCCAAGTGGAGCTGTTTCGTCCCGCTCTGCTGAGGTTTTAGCTCATTTCCACTGCAGCTGTTATCTTGGTGGGAGCCTGATGAGCTTCCTTTCCAGACTGGCTGATTGCGTTTGCCCGTTTTTCTTGTTTTTGTTGTTGCTGCCCCTTCCCTCCACTGGGCCACTCCCCTCAAGCTCCTTTGGTCCATTTCTGTGTGTACAAGGTCAGAGTTCTCTTTGTTGCCTGTCTGAGTTCTGTAAGGGGGAAAAAATTAAAAGGCACAAAGTTTAAACTGAACTTTTCTGTGCTCTGTGTTTATATCATACACAATAAAATGTTTGACTGAGTTCTTATTGATTTTTTCATGTAATTTCACAAGCAGGGAGTGCTTTACTCTCACAAAGGTAGCCTCTGACTCCTTCAGTTTGAAAATGTCTGTTGTCAGTGGGCTAGCGAAGGGTGAGCCTAGAACAGCGGTTCTCAACCTGTGGGTCGCGACCCCTTTGGGGGTGGAACGACCCTTTCACAGGGGTCGCCTAAGACCATCGGAAAACACTTATATAATTACGTATTGTTTTTGTGACTAATCACTATGCTTTCATTATGTTCAATTTGTAACAATGAAAATACATCCTGCATATCAGATATTTACATTATGATTCATAACAGTAGCAAAATTACAGTTATGAAGTAGCAACGAAAATAATTTGATGGTTGGGGGTCACCACAACATGAGGAACTGTATTAAAGGGTCACGGCATTAGGAAGGTTGAGAACCACTGGCCTCGAATAACACTCCCATTATGTGAACCGGCAGAGTAGCTGCTTCATGAAAATGTTTGGCTTCCTGTTTTCTGGTTTTGTTTTTCTGTCACCCTCAAACATTGTTTGGCCCTCTCTACAGGCCTGTGCTGTGGCTAGTATCAAAAACATGGGAAAATTTGAAATTTAGATTAAAACACAAAGACAGCACATAAGTCCCACGGGGGCATGTTAATTGTGGTGACACAGGCAAAACATAAGTGGATGAAATTTGACAAGAGGATGTTAGGAAACCTGGCCAAGCCAAGAGAGACTCTCTTCTATCGCACCAAGGAGGCTTCGTGGAAGAAAGGAAGTACCTGTTGGGCCAGGGGGATAAAGAAAAAATTATGAGTCTCTGTTTATCCCAGAAATTGTGACTAATCCAGAAATTCTACAATTACATGATGTACATTTCATTAGCTTACTCTGATATCCTTATGGAATATTTCACTTCCAAATGATGAGAAAGTTATAGAAAGATCCTATTTCAACAAATTTCTTGTATGAATTGCTTAAAACTCAGCCAGCCATTTATTTGAATTTTGATTTTTTATGAAATTTTAATTGGGGCCAGTATGTTGGGTACCCACACCATTTACTTATGAACTGACTTACAACATAAAATCCAATGACAATTTTTTGTTATTTTTACAGTATGAAAAGAGAATTCAGAATAACAGAATGAGCAGAAGTTACTTAATTTCTCTAAGCTCAGTTCCTTCATCTGTGCAAAATACAGAGAATAACACACTCTTTCTGTGTCAGTTTGAGAAATTAAAGGAGACCATATGCACAAGTTACTTAGCATTAGAAGTGTCATTCCAACTGAAGTTAAAATCCCTTTTGCTTATTATAACATTACTAAATTGTCATGGTGGTGGGGGTTGGGGGCAGAAGTAACCTAAAATTCCATGGGAATAAATAAAAATGATTGACTTTACTTCCTGTGTGAGTTGGTATACATGAAGAGTAATGCCTACCTAATAGAAAGGATCTAATGCAGCAGTTCTCAACCTGTGGGTCCCGACCCCTTTGGCAGTCGAACGACCCTTTCACAGGGGTCGCCTAAGACCATCCTGCATATCAGATATTTACATTACGATTCATAACAGTAGCAACATTACAGTGATGATGTAGCAACGAAAATAATTTTATGGTTGGGTCACAACATGAGGAACTGTATAAAGGGCCAGAAGGTTGAGAACCACTGAAGAGAGTTCTCTGAGATAATATGTGTAAAGGGCTTAGAAAAATGTTAGCTATTATCATTATTACTAAAACTAGAGGCCAGTGTGCAATTGAAATCGCGCGAGGAGGCACCCCGCCTCCCGCCATGTGAGGAGGCACCCCACAGACAGCCGGGACCCACGCCTGACTCGCAGTGTCCCCCGGCCCCCCTGCCTGTTTCCACTCCGGGCCACCCGGACCAAAGGCGCACGCAAATGAGGACAATCGAAGGAAGATTTATCGCCTGCAAGATTGATCAAGGTGTGGGTGGAGACAGGACAGCATGAATCCCAAGGGCAGCTGCGAGGGCCCAGAGTGGGATAAAGCCTGCTGCTGTCAGGTGAACAGTGGCTTTCTGTAGAATAGTGGTTCTCAACCTTCTGGCCCTTTAAATACAGTTCCTCATGTTGTGACCCAACCATAAAATTATTTTCGTTGCTACTTCATAACTGTAATGTTGCTACTGTTATGAATCATAATGTAAATATCTGATATGCAGGATGGTCTTAGGCGACCCCTGTGAAAGGGTAGTTCAATCGCCAAAAGGGTCGCGACCCACAGGTTGAGAACCGCCGCCTTACAGCATCCCAGTCCAATTTGCATATTACCTCTTTATTTATTTATATATAGATAGATTGTCCTCAAAAATGAGAAATGTATGAACATTTGTTCAGAATAACTAAATAGGACTACTTCAGTACTTTTTTACTCAAACTATAACAGACATCTTAGTTTTGGTCCATTTTAATCCTTTTACATTTTCCTGCACATTCCATGTCATTTTTACCTCCAGGCCTTTGGTCCTGTTGTAGCTCCATCCTGAAATGCTCACTCGCCCACAGGACACACAATCGTTGTCTGAAACCTCCTGCTGCCTCCAGACCCCATCAAAACCCTATGTCCACAGCATTCAGATACACTCTGGTTCCTCCTTTGCATAGTTCTTGCCATTAATAATTTTCTAACCTGCTCAGGTGTGTCATCTTCTCTCAAAGTTCAAATTTCTTAATGTCAAGAGCTATTTTGCATACATCTGCTAAAAATCTATATATATAAAAGCTTA